TGTACCTTTAGAATGCATTGATTCTAAGACAGACATTTACAGTTGTTCAGCAATCGGTGTCTGTTCCATGCTGTATATCGAAAACACATATTAGCTTGTCCGACGACGTAGCAACAGCAATAGACCTTATTCGTGGTGTGACAATGTTTTCCCAATTCAGCGTGACAAACCTCCAGAGGATTCATTTTCTTTTGTTTTTTCTCTTCGAAAAATTCATGAGTATCCCAAAGGATACGAAAGGAATAACGATGATATCCCGAGGAGTTGCAAAACAATAGCTCTTCATTCCCCCAGAGGTTTGTCACGTTGAATTGGGAAAACATTGTCACACCACGAATAAGGTCTATTAGAATGAATTTTTTCTTTACTAAAAAAACGATGACCAAATAGCGCAGGGCAACCGTGACGTCATAAAAACGAAGACAAAGGCGAAATTCGGACAAACAAACTTACAAGTTTACTTTCAGCAGATAATTTTCACAGCCGATCGCAGTTGATCTTAGTTTACATGGGTTATTATTGTAACTTTAAGTAAAAATAATAAAATCGGTTCGTATAATCCTCCCAGCGGTTAAACAGAATGCAATGTTTGTCCGAATCTTTAAGCTATTTTTAGAATCAGTGCGCTGCGCTATAGAGACCAAATAAATTGAGCGTGGTTCAGCTTGCTTTACTAAGATTTTGATTTTTCTAGTGATTTATTTATTTTAAAATGTCAAAGATTGATATACCAGTACATTTGAGATGTCAGTTTATTATTATTTAGTATACGCAGTCAATTCACACAAATGTTGTCGTCGACCAACACAAGCCTACGCGACTAGACCGAAAGGAACTCTGGGTAGCAATCATTTAGACCGAGTTGACTCCATAATTTTATCTGACTACTTATGCCTGGTTTACAGCACGAGCCTTCGCAGGCGAGCGGGAAGTGTTGAAGGAGACGTTTTTTAAATGCCTTCATATTTTTGGAATTGTGAACTGAATCATAACTACTTTGTTTTTTCTTTCCCTAAACCCGAAGACATGCATTTGATGGATTGTCTCTCGCCATTATTATCTTACTACTAGCGGGAACAATTAATTCCGAACGAATATTTAACCGCTTCAGTGATTTTTACCCATATTCCTTTCGGTCCAGTCGTGTAGGCTTGAGCCGATCGACGACAACGTTTTTTGAATTGACTGTAATTGCTGGCTTTCGCGCAGCTGATAAAAGTTTTTGAATTTCATTATCTCTTCCACATGGTCGTGGTCAATTACTGACCACCATGTGCTGTCAGCCAGAAAGAATTCTATTGAAAACTTGAGATTCAGCTGATGAACATTCCGCACGAGACAGGAAATGACGTCAAGTGAAAGCCAGCAACACTCCAGTTTCGAGTTCTCTATTGCTTAGCATTAGCATTGATTTTGTGCAGAATCATTTACGTTTCCAGATAAGGTCCGTGGAATTTCAAAGCGTTTGTATTGTTGAAGTTGTGCATTCTTTACTTTAGCGTTGGTATTTGTGAATATTTAGACACTGATTCGAGGCTAAGCCTGACTAAATGAGTCTGTAATCAAGGTACATGGCATAATTTGGAACTCGAAAATGGTCTATTTTATACGTGAATATTGGATTTCGCGCGCTGTGATTGGTCCATCAAGCAGTGTTTATGAAAGGAAGTAAAATCACCAAAGCGGACGGAAGTAATAAAAAGTGCTAAAACACCTTGCATCTCGTGTTTTCTTTTATAATCAAGTCTAGAATTACACTTAGGCTAAGGTCAAACATATTGGCCAAACCTAGTTGAGGGAAATAACAGCAAAAACGATTTGAAAACAATTTGAATACGCTGCGTGTGGACGCGAACATTTTCGTATCCGCAAAAAAAGATTTGCGGATTCAAAAATTTCCGGATACGTGTGGACGGGGCCTTGGGCTCAAACGTCGAACTTTACATGAGCCGATCTAAATGCATAAATCATGTTAATGCATGTTTTGCACTAATCTTAATTATTCTTTGTCACCACGAATGCGCCGTTAGCACTTTTTTCCCCCAACATGGTTGCTGCACTCCAATGCTGCAGCTCATGATTTGATTATGGACGCCATCATGATGGTGTTACCGCTGACCACATAAACGTGATTCGTTTTAAGATCGACATAAATAAGTTCGACGTTTGACTCAAACAGTCAATCTTAATTTTATGATTCGATACCAAATACAAAAAAAATAAAAATAAAAAAAGAACTAGCTAAAAACTAGTGTGAGCTGCGTCGGTGTTTCTAATGAAACAGTAATGATAAAAGGGTAAATTTTACACCGTGAAAAGATGAAAAAACTTACTGACGTTTCGGACGCTAGTCATTCGTCGGAGTAAGAGAGTTTTTTCATCTTTTCACGGTGTAAAATATAACCTTTTGTCATTACTGATCCCAAATACAGTTAGGTTCGGCTCATATAAAGTTCGACGTTAGACCTTATACTAATACATTTATTTTCCTCAGGGCCAGTGAATATATAGCGAATATTTAGTAATCGAAGAATAAAGGAACCAAAGATCCCATAAAATACGTCCCTGATAACTGTAAAGATAAAGTAGTATGTGTGCTTCATTTGGCATGGAGGCTTCCAATTATTCATCAGTTATTTATTTCGAACATTCGTCTATACTGGCCGTCATCCTTTGAACATGTTCGCTTTTAATAACATTTTTTTTTTCTTTGAGAATTGAATTAGCTAATAACTTTGTTTCAAAAGCCTTGATGCATATCTTATAAACATACAAAAACATACATGCCTCTGTACAAAAAAAAAAAAAAAAAAAAAAAAAACCCCATGTAAGCTATTTTAAAATCATTATAAAATAACTGTTATAAATCTGGCGTTTCTATTGGTTGAGAGCGCGTGCTTTATGAAAGCACAATGCACGCACGCTCAATTAATATTTCGTCATTCTTGTTTAAATTCACGGCTACTCTAATTTCTTTTGTGAAATAAATTTGAAACTTGGTTGCTGTGCTGTGTGAAGTTATAAAGCACGTGGATGTTGACAGAACACTCGCTATTCCTCGTGCATCTCCTTATCTTTCAAACGCCGTGTGTATAGCAAGATTTTATTTTCAAAAAATTGCTGAAACTCGCTTTCAAAGTTCTCTAGTAACAGAGTTTCAGCCATTTTCTCTGTATCTAATTGAATCTCCCGCCACTGATTTACTTCGCAAATGGCACATTGCATTCTTAGGCCTTAATTAAATGCCAAAATCAGTTTGACCACTCATTCTATGCCATATCTTCGTGCTTTATAACTGGACAAAGGAGTTCCTATTCATTCGTTGTCTAACCAAAATCCTAGTCATTTTCAGTTCCTAGTTCCTGACGTTCTTTCATTTTCATTTTCGACTTTCGAAAAATCAGTGTATCAAAAACAGTCCACTAGTAAATCTATAATCATAGAGCGCATGCAATAAAACCATGAAATAAAACCAAAATTGATAGACCACTGACAAATAGTAGGTATTTAGTGACTGATAGTTCGTATCACTCAACCAGAACACTCTTTACACAAAAGACACAAATGGTCTCTTGTGTATTTGTCTTTGTATGATGAATGTTCTGGTTGAGTGATAGCAACTATTAGTCACTAAATAGCTACTATTTGTCACTATCAATTTTGTTTTTATTTCATGGTTTTACTGCATGACTCTAGCTTAATTTTTATATTAAAAAAAAAACAATTTTCCCTTTATACTTATGCAATATTTAGAATTTAAACCCTTTAAGGTGGCTGACTACTTTGGTACATATTAAACAGAAAATTGAAAATTGAAACTTCTTTAACCTGAAATTTAATGCTGATTTCAAAAATGCTAACATCGTGGGCTCGAATCCAACGTTCTTAAGTAGTCAGCCACCTTAATGTGGACATTGAAAATGGAGGATTCCCACTGGCACGTCTGTATTTGCGCATGAGCAGATGACGATATTCCATTTTTTCCCGTTCTTATTTACGATTTTGCTCGTCTTAGTGTGGATGGGGGAAAAGGCTGTGAAAACGCTAGTGTGCAGACGAAAAGATTAAAGTTCTTTCTAGGTGAGACGAAAAACGAGCGTTTCGAAAATGCATTAATGCGACAGGGCCTAAAATCGATAAAAAACCATGAAGATGCTGCGAAAAGGATTATCAAAGGCAGCATGAATTAGTCGAGAGGACCTAAAAAGGAAAAAATATAATGTTTAATCGTGCCTACGACGAGAAAATTTATAAATTTAACAAATTTCTCATAGTTAAGTGTGGTATGTCCTAACGCTATATATGGTTCCGTGCGGGAGCGATTCTTAGTTTGTTGTCGTACATTGTCCCCTTATATACCACGGCTCTCTACCCATCAGCAGAAAGTGAGAAAATTTACATTTGTGGTAAAATTTTTATAATTTATAATTTTTCTGTCATAATATTTATCAATTCAATATAATATATTGCGTATAGATATCGGTAAGTTTGATATATAGAGATTATCACATGTTAAGAACTTGATATCGTTTTTATTCACGAGTTTTTCCGTATCATATCGCGAACGAGCGAGTCCTCGAGCGAGTGAGCGATATGATACGGAAAAACTCGTGAATAAAAGCGATATCAAGTTCTTAACACGTAATAATTTGTTTATTACACATTTAGGCTCGATATATAACACACACAAAATGTTTTATTGTCTTAAATATCCTTAACCGACTTACACCATTTCAAAATGTTAAAGAATTATACGTTTCCAATTCAATATCATTCAAGATATTAAAGCTTAATTAAAAATGTAAGAAGCACAAAATTCATCTTGAATTTGATAGAAATAAACACTAAATAGAGATTTATCCCGTCACTCTTGACTACTATCGTAGTCAAGTTACAGTTACAGTTTACCGTGAAGTGATATCGTATCACTTCACTGATATGGTTTTTATTCACGGCTTTATTTCACGGATATCGAGCTTAAATGTGTAATAAAATAATATTTGAGAGATATGCTAGTTTTGAAGATATGAAGAATGATATGATAATTGAGGTCGGCCATACCTGATTTTATTCAGTAATTTCATTGTCATAAGCCTCCTGCAGACTCACTTTTTGGTCGCTGTTTTGCTTTTTCTTGTAGTTGCAGGCCTGCAGAAAATAATCATATACTGCACCACAACGACATTATGAGACAATCTAAAGTTTGTGTTATACGAGACGATTTTTAGTGCAACATTGTTGCGTTAAAATTTGTCTCGTGTAACAAGGTGCGCGCAGCAAGAAAAAAATCGTGGGTAACAATGTTGTAAGTTTGAAAGTCGTTAAAAAACCTTCAACATGTTGCCGGTAAAAAATTGGTTAAAATTGTAACCCCGCGCCAAAATACACGTTTAACACAACAATTGCGCAAAAAATCGTCTCGCGTACCTAACCCATCTTTTTGCAATTAAAAGTGTACAATATTTCAATATATTTCTTTTGATTTATCACTGTGTCTATTCTTACCCTGTACTTGATGAACCCAATGGTGGCAAATACAAAGATGAGTGCCAGCATACCACCAAATCCTCGCAGAAAGTCCATAATGCCATCGACTGTTTCAACTTTTTCTGCTTTTGGGAGCGAAAGCGATGGAGCCAAATTTCCTCCACTAGCTAAAGTAATAAAAGAAGAAGTAGAATGGAATAGAAATTCGATAAACACGGCTGCATTTTGTTAAGTTCAGTAATATATCTTCAGCATTAGAAATTGATAAAATTTCAAACACATACCAAATTTTCATAAAGGACATAAATACGACTGTCATATTTTTTTTAAAGGGAGGCTCGTTCCATACGCTGCTCTACTCATAATCATGCGACTAACGGCTATTTATTCTTAATCATATTTATTATATATATTTTTTATATCGTAAATAGTCCCTTTCACAGTTCCCTGCGCCATCTCGAAAGGTAGCCGTGCCTTTGTATCGAAGCGGGACGAACAGTGAGCTTGCAATGATAGAGACATGTGAATAATTGTCCAAGGTGCTAAAAAGGTCTCTATCATTGCAAGCTCACCGTTCGTCTCGCTTCGATGCAAAGGCTCGGCTACCTTTCAAAATGGCGCAGGGAACTGTGAAGAGGACTATTCTTAATATATCTAAATTTTATTTAACATATATATGAATAAATATAGGTATATAGACTTTTTATTATTTTGTACTATATTATTTTATGGTGTTTTTTTTTTTTTYATTTTGTGTCCCCAATTTGTTGTAGAAATTAAATGCATTGACTCTTAAATAAAGTTATTATTATTGTTATCATTATTATTATTATACACAAATAACACTCTCCCAACCAGGAAAAACCTTGTGAAATGGGGTATCTCGTAATCACCAGATTGTTCATTTTGTCTTACATCCGAATCTCTTTTACATATAGTTAGTGGACAACATTACCTCGATCGCTTTACCTGGCGCCATAATTCTGTCCTCAACTTTATGGCCTCATTACTCAAACCCGTTGACAATTCTACTTTCTATGATGACCTTCGATAATTATCACAGTCAATTATAACTGGCGATAGTTATCGCCCTGACTTGATTTTAAGAACACCTAGTACACTCTATATATTGGAACTTATCTTTGGCTTTGAATCAAACCTTAAGAATAATGCCGAACGTTAGAAGAAAAAAATATTAAAAAAACATATATGATTATTATAAGTTTACATTATTATTATTATAACTTAATCATAGTTTTGAAGCGACTGCTGCTTCAAACGGTGAGCTTAGTAAATCGAACTGAATAAGCACCTTTGTGCCAAACCTTATGATGAATTAATTACGGCAAAAGAGCGGCATGGAGCAGCTTTCGTATCTTCGTATGGCTGTGAAAAAGTCGGTGCTGTATGTGTGCCTTGCGCATGTCGTGGCCGTGATGTTGAATTTTGATTGGCTGATTTTTACTCACGCACTGTGATTGGTCTGGCAGTGTGGTGTGACCGTGTCCACGCAGTGCTTATGCCGTATTTCGGGTATTTGATTGGATGTAGAGTAAATTGTCGAGCAATGTGATTGGGCTGGCGTATGCCTTGCCGTGTCACGACAGTGCCGTGAGCTTTTCACAGTCATACAAAGGTTGCTCATTGAATTATTTTAGTTCAATTAGGAACGGCAAACACGTTACAGCCAAAGATGGCTCAAGCTTTCCCCATTTGGTTACATTAATGGTTTTATTATTCGAATATTAAAATTTATCATTTTTTCTGAGAATACGAAGAATCAGGATTCAAAATAATAACCAATTCAAAACTCGAATTCTGATTGGATTATTCCATATAAGGAAAACCATAATCCGGTGTACTGAACGGGCCTATCATAATATTAAGACAGAAATTTGTTTCCCAAGCTCCTTCCATCCCTATTTTTACAATAACTTACAAATTTCTCGCCCGCTGATTGGCTAATTTTTATCATTAATAAGAGGACAGACAGATAAAGCTGCCGTCATCTACCGCGTGCTTTTCCTTCGTTTGTTTTGATCGCTAGAAAAGAGTTATTCGTTTTTTGTGTTGTTTTTGTTATCGTAAAAAACAAATTGACTTCAGATTTTTATGTGTCTGTCCTCTTATTGACGATAAATTTCGTCATCACGTTGTCAAAGTAGTATGCGGATCCACACTACTTTGACAATGTGATGACGCATTTACCGTCAATAAGAGGACAGACACAAAAATCTGATGTCAATTTGTTAAATAAATAACTGGTGTGTTCACCTATTTCAAAAACGTTGTCGGTCGGAGGTCGGTTTGAGACTGAGTAGCACGCTACAAATTGTAATACAGTCTAACAACGTTGTTCCCTTTTAGATGCGAGTATGAAGTGTGTCCTTTGAGTTAGAAATGTGATTTTTCGTATTATAGTCAAAAAACATAAAATCACAGGACCTACGTTTGGTAGGCATATCGCAGAATTCTCACCGGTAACGTTTTTAGAAATAGGTGCAAAAATAGACGCTTACGCATTTCGTTGAAGCGTGGAGTAATTTCGAATGCAAAAATTTTCAGCTGGTTGGAATCTTCTGAGGCCATGACTTTATTCAAAGGAGCCTGCAAATCACTCTTGGAGACTTGTTCTGTACTTTTTGTGTAAATTCTATGATAATAAAAAAATCAAAAGTTTTAGCACAGAAAGCCATTTCAAATTAGGTTGCTTATCATTTAAACCAATCCATCCGGTTGGAAATTCGTATGCTAATGTTAGGAAAAGAGCGGGATTTTTGTACTTCCGACTTTTCTACTTTGATCGAAGTGACACATCCAACCGGAATTTCCCCACGTGGTACGTGGTACACACCCGTAACCAGTAGAGCTGTTCTCTTTTGACTGTGAAAACGTCGCTACCATATGCGTGCCTCACCGCGACCGTGATGTTTTCTAGAATTTTGATTGGCTGATTTTTACTTATGTGATTAGTCTGACAATGTCGTGATCTTGGCGTGACCGTGTCCGCGCCGTGTCCGCGCCGTATTCCGGGTATTTGATTGGATGGAAAGTAAATTCTCGTGCAGTGTGATTGGTCCGACGCTTGTCGTGTCACGAACGTGTTCGTGCGGTGAGCTTTTCATCGTCGTACTAAAACTTGTCTAATAAAAATTTCCTACCAAAGCTAGAGAGCCTGACATAAAATCAATGATACTTACATCGCCTCAAATGTGACTTTTTCTTCGACAAATTCCTCTACTTCACTCTTGATAAAACCTGACACATCCTTATACATATCGTTCAGGTGGTCTTCAACGTGCTGCTTCAAGACACTAAACTCTGGACCGCTTTTATCTTGCAGATATCGAACCCAGTGCAGTTTTGTATTGGCAACCAGGGTAAAGTCGCGACGTTCATTTTGTGGAGGCAAAATCACGTATCTTGTTTGTCCTCCACTAGAAGACCCTTGGCCCGCACTTATCTGGAGCGTGTCGCCAGAGAGCGATGAAGAGGCTTGAACAATAGTTGAGCTTGGCTCTATAGGGGACACAGTTGAATTGGCAGCAAGCGAGGAATTGAAGGTACTACTGGCAAATGGAGAGCTGCTCTTAGAAACAATTGATGTAGTGAGAAGACTGTCTTGACTGGATGTTGTGGTTGGGCTGATAGTCTGAGGGGTAGAGGATGCCACCAAGGTATAATTTTGAGTTGAATTTGTCTGATTAGCTGCAGAACCTGGATTTAAAAAAAAATTCAGTTGATGTAATTCCTCACAGAATATCATAGATGTGATGACTGGATATCCAGTCACTGATAAAAACATTTATATCTGCTCTGTAACTTCTTACTTATAGTTCACTTGACCAAATTACTCGATTGTGATTGGTCGAAAGCAGTACAATTAATCGTTATTTATAATGAGTAGGAGTACCTAATAAGTTGTTTTGGGAAACACGCGCGCGCACAAACTTCAAAGGACGCATAAAATCTAAAAGAAGCAAAAAACGAATAAATTTTCATAAATTCGATCGTCAGTTTAGGAAAAATTGGCCAAACTTTCTATAAACGTTCGTTATATATGAGTTTACTATAAATTCCTCAAATTGCAAGCACCTCTGAAAGGCTCGTGTAGTTACAATAAATATTATTTTCGAAACATTATAACCTCCGTAGTATATTTTGGCCTTGTCCGAGTGTCAATTATTGACCAATTCATTTTTCTCGCCATTTCGACAGATGAAGATACTATGGTTTATTCTGTCTTCAGGTGACCTAATATCATAATTTAAGTATAAATACACAATAGGATATTGAAAATCTTGAAGTTGTGCATTCCTTACTTTACCCTTATTTGTGATTAAGACACTGTAACGAGGCCCTGAGTAAATGGTAATTTGGAACTCGAAAAAGGTTTATTCTGAATTTTCTGAAAAAACGTATAAAACTCTAAAGTTCTTTTATTATTTTTTTTATAGCGGAGCTCCCGCGCGGCCAGCGGAGCACCATACTTAAAAAAAATGGTGAACCATCGAATTGATTTTTCATGGCTTGGCTGACGTCACTTCCGTCCGTCCGTGCGTACGTTCGTTTACACAACACAGGAATCCCGCTTGATGTCAAAGCAAAACTACCCACAAATCCGGCTCTCAAATGCACAGAAAAAATGGCTTTAGGACAAGTTATAGACCAAAAACAATTAACAAAACTTTCATGTACTCAAAGATAGATCAAGAAGTGTTCTTCAAGAATTCAGGTGTGTGTTTTTTAGCAAACAATCGTATATATATATATATTTTTTTTTTTTTGACAAGCATTTTTATCGACGAATCGATAAATCAAAGACTTTCTCTCAAAACTTTTTATATCCTATAGATAAGCTTAATTTGTTTTAATGCTGGAGGAAATATAACTCGGAGAGCATATTACGACAAAAATATTCTTCCTTTATTTAGCTTTGTAAATCTTCAACAATTCGGTTGTTTTTTTAAAAGCAACTATCGTATGTTTTCCGTTCAAGAAAAATGCAGCTTTGTTCGCCTCTTATCGCGGGGTCCCATCGGCAAAACAATGAAGACTTTCATTCAGTGATTTTATATCTTTCTACAGATTAGTATAGGAAATCGCACGATCTCGAGTACAATTTGGAAATTAATAGACACGAGTAATGTTTTGAAAGTTCTTGTAATTGCGCGAGCCTTTAGGCGAGTGCAATTAAAGAACTTTCAAAACATTACGAGTGTCTATTAATTCCAAATTGTACGAGAAGATCGTAAGATTTTTTGTTTATAGTTCACTCAAGAAAATTTCAGTAAAAAATGCGAAGCGACGCCGTTCATCTTTATCTATTTGGCGGCCGATTTTCAGTCCATCGCGCAACTGAAATGCATAAAAAAGATTAGTTCTTAAGGCTTTAAAATTTTGTTTATGTTTTTTAAGTACAAAATGATAGAAAATAATTGTTTTGACATTATTTTGGCCGTGTTGCCATAGCGACTTAATTCGGTACTCCAACGGAGTACAATTAACGCTATAATTGTACTCCTCTCGACCAATCAGATTCCAGTAATTTTGTTGAGTGTACTATAATCCATTTAATTGTTAAATGACATACAAGATCACACTACATATTCAACTGCTTATTGAGCTTTTCGAGCTATACGATTATAAAAATGAGCTTAAATTTATGTTGTTGAGAGATATATTATTCAATAAAGGCCTCAAAAATACATTTACAAATTAAACGCTAATTTACTGACAAAGAAAATTGTAATTTTGTATTTTGCATTCTTTTCTGATTATTCTCAGTTGTTCTTGTCTAGTTTAAGTGAATGTAAACTTTGTTTTTCGAAAACTTTAGTCGTTCGTGATTACCGTATCTTTCTCACACATAGACAACAGATAAAAACTGGCAAAATAGAATCTCAAAATGTAGTAAGCTTAAGTTTTCAAGGTTATCGAAAAGTAGTTAAAGCTTATATCTTTATATGAAAGGAATAAAAATATTTTAATGAAGAATTAGGATAAAAAACCTATTTTTTAACTGATGACACGTTCAGGGCCTTCATTTCACAAGTTTAGTATTAGCACGTGGAGCCCAATTTAGATTAAAGTGAATGGTGAAAATAAAATCGGAAAAAGTAAATGATTAATAGTTTTTAAATTCAAGATGAAGATAATGTCCTCCGTAATACGAAAGAGTAAAGAATCGATAAAAAATGCACTAGAGCATTTTTTTTCGCGCGCGCCTTTGTTTTCCTATATGATTCCCCTATGGTATCTGATGTTGATCTTATGTATACACTTATTTCAATAAAGTTAGTCACCTGAAAAGCTACAAAGCTGAGACCTGCAAGGATTATGGGTAGTTACATTTTACATGTTTCAACCGCTTTAATAACTGTTGATGGATTTTAGATCTTTTACCATTTACAGTCTCACCTCTTCTGAGCATCCTCAAGCTGCAAATCGTATCAAAAGCTTTACTTGTTTGATATTAAAAAATTCCCATGATCCTCAGTGATCTCAGCTTTCTAGGTTTTTTGGTGACTAACTTTATTGAAATAAGTGTATATATTCTGACAAGGGAGGAAACTACAGTTGCCATATTTGAAGAAACAACTCACTTGAAACCACCATTTCATCGTCTTTTCAGCCTCGAACTCCACAAAAAACTTGATCAAAATGATCCCTACTATGGTGGATTCATTTATTTAAAACTCTTTTAGCTCTTCCTACAAGATTTCTATGAGCGAAATTTTCGTGCAGAAAAATTGTCGCTTGCAGAAAATTTTCTGCCATGTTATGTCAAGGTTACTACCTGCGTAGGACTCGGGCGAGAACGAATTTCAACCTTACTACTCTCTCGCACAGGATTTTTGTAACGTGTACACGACCCACCACCATCCACCCCGCAGGGCTAGTTTTGTTCTGGAAAAATCCTTCCACAAAGTTCTCTATGGTCGACATTTTGTTCGCTTTTTTGGTTGGTTTTACTTGAAAAATCAAAAGGTAACTACAGATCATTCAACAAGATATCAGGTTTAGTGAAAATTACAATAGATGTCTTTCATTTAACTCGGAAATTTTGGAGATTTCCGTTTCCTTTTTCAGGATAAAACTTTATCATCATGAAAGCTGGTAAGCAATTATATAGGAAAACGAAGGCGCGCGGTAAAAAAATGTTCTAGTACATTTTTTATCGATTTTTTACTCTTTCGTATTACGGAGGACATTATCTTGGTCTCAAATTAAGAAAAATATTAATTAAATTTTTTTTCCGATTTTATTTTCGCCATTCAATTTAATCTAAATTGGGCTCCCTGTGGTTTCAGTCAATGATCTCCAGCCAATTTTCTATCTGATGATGCTACCAAAGCATTTATTATTTTTATTTTCATTAGCTTATAGTCTTGATATGTCCTAAAAAAATTCGGGGATCTCCAAAATTTCGATTTCGATGAAAGACATCCAAGGTAAATTTCACTAAACCTGATATTTAAGTAAAGTTAACCAGGAATTCAAAGCTTATAAATGTCGGCCATGGAAAACCTTGTCCAAGAATCATCCAAAAGCAAAACTAGCCCCTTGAGGAGGGGGGCTGGTGGTGCGTTGTGTGCAAAGTTCCTGGGAGAGTATACTCGCGCAAAGAAAATGATCTAGTGCATTTTGATTCGATTTCACTGCATGGTTCTTTTCATGGGAGACATTATCTTCATCTCGAATTAAAAAAATTGAAAATTTTTTCCCTGATTATATTTTTACCTTTAAGATTCATTCAAATTGGTCTCCCTATGACTTGTGTATCGGGGGCTTCGCTTTTAGCCACTGCCTAAATATATATATTACCGTGTTATGAAATTTTTCTCCTAGACTTCATTTTGTTTGAAAAGCATGTCGAGAAAAAAATTTTCAAGCTAGTCCCCGAGATAAAGCACAGCTTTTAGAATAACCTGTAAACGATTAATTTCATCGCCGAGTAGCAGGTGCTCTGGTTAAATTTAGTCATAATTGTCAAACTTTCTCAATTTTCGCAATTCAAAGACTGGAACATTCACTAAATAAAACTTTTTTTATACAGCATCTTTGCTTGGTTTAATAGGTTCAATGAGTAGCTGTAGTCTTAAAAGTTATTAGAAACTTTTGTATTGTAAGAATTTAACTACTCCACCAAGTTCTTGGGTTATATTCGCTTTTTTTAAAGAAACTTTTTTTTAAAAATCTTGTTCAAAGTCTTTTTATTCACTTCATAATAAAACGCGAAACATTTTCTTTTAAGAATTTAATTTAAACAAGCTGGCTCAGACATGCTTGAAAAACTTTTTTAAACTCTTTATCTTCTGTTTCCTAAGTCTAAGTAGCTTGAAGACACCCTTAACAGATTAAAAATTTCAATAAAAACATTTGTTCTCGATCGATAATTATAATCTGCCAGAACTAGAAATGCAAATTCAAAAAAGTTTTTCTTTAAGTATAATAAATTGGTATAAACGCGACATCAGTCTCTCTCGTTGTTAATTATTAATCATTTTTACTTATTTTCTTTTACAACTTGAAAATCTTTAGATATTTATCGGCCAAAAAAATAGTTTTGGTAGTTTGGTTGTTTGTATCAATTGCTTCATTGCTAGGTAAAAAATATAGTAAAATGGATCAAATTAAGACGGTTTTTACAAATAGTTAGAATATATTTTGACTCTTTCAGAATTAAAATAAATATTTATTAGCATTGTAATTCTCTGAAGCAAGAAAGGCTGGTTTCTACTCTCTTTTAAAAATATGGATAACCAAAAGTAAAGACGTCTGTTCAGTCGAAACTATAAATTTTGTATTTACTACAAATTTCGATGGACTTACAAAGGACAAAGCACCGCTTTCCTGAGTATGTTTTCATAAGAAAAACAGTATTTTTTTTTTGCGACCGAAATTTGAGAAGACATCTTTTTGTTTACGATAACGCCGTCTACAATGGGAATATCTATTGAAAAGTCCTTCGAGTTCACCAACTAAACTGATACGTTCAAAATCTTTGTAATTTACCTTCTGAAAGTAGAATGTCGCCGCATGACCAGAAGACCAAAGTCATCCATATCATTCGAAATGCCATCGCTGAGGATTGATTTGACTTCCAAAGTGCGAATTCAATTCGAAATGTGTCACAATTAACCGCAGTACGAGTTTATGCTCTTGAACAAGAGATTTCCTCAATGTCACCAATCTTAAAAAAACTTTTTAGATTGAAGTCATTGACAAGGCTCTTTCATTTAGTGAGTCTCGACTAATTATCCTACAGAAGCTGTTTAAGTAGAATTAATTGGTCGCAAAAGGGGGGGAAAATCTGAATTATTTTACGTCATTGGTCACTAACCAAACTGATTGCTTAACATCAGAAATCGAATGCTTTGCTAAATAGCTATAAATAGCATACTGGAGTACAGGGGCGCCGGTAGTTAGGGTTGGGATGGTGTGGGGGAAGCAACGGTTGTTTTTATACAATTAACGAGACGTTGCGGCGTAAATGGTATGAAGTGGTAAAATTTTTCACTGATACCGTGTAATTAGTGTCGTCACATTAAAGATAATTTTGAAAAGGGGCCATTCATGGTTCCAAGTCAGACCATAGAAAAACAGTCAGCACCGTTACAGCCTTGGAATTAAAATCTTGTCCCATAAACAACTATACAATAGAAAGATTACGGGGCATTTTTTTAATTTTTACGGAAAAGTTAACGATTAAAACAACTTATAAT